GCCATCTTGCCCCGCCTCCTCTCCACCATGTTTTCTTGACTGTAACTATTATGAAGTGGACTGCCAGGTCTTTCTTCCTCAGAGCCACTGGATGGCTTGGCACTGCCAACCTTTTAGCTTGAACAAATATGCCTCCTTACCCCCCTTCTCCTTCTGCACCAGTGGCTCCTCTTTTGTCTTGTGACCTTGAGGTATAACAGCCTCTTTTCAATTTTCTTTCAGCACTGAGATGCTCAACATCACCTCGGGAGGCCTCACGCCTACTCTGAACGTGTCCCTTCCCCAGGACAAAGACTGCCCCTCCACAGACTTGTGGAACTGGCTCAACACCATCCAAGCCCCCTTCCTCTGGGTCCTCTTCATGTTTGCGGCACTCGAGAACATCTTTGTCCTTAGCGTCTTCTGCCTGCACAAGAGCAACTGCACCGTGGCGGAGATCTACCTGGGCAACTTGGCCGTGGCAGACCTCATCCTGGCCTGTGGGCTGCCCTTCTGGGCCATCACTGTAGCCAACAACTTCGACTGGCTCTTTGGGGAGGTCCTTTGCCGCATGGTGAGCACCGTGAGTTATATGAATTTGTACAGTAGCATCTGTTTCCTAATGCTGGTGAGCATTGACCGTTACCTGGCCCTGGTGAAAACCATGTCCATGGGCCGCATGCGTGGGGTACACTGGGCTAAACTCTACAGCCTGGTGATCTGGGGGTGCACCCTGCTACTAAGCTCGCCCATGCTGGCATTCCGGACCATGAAGGAGTATAGTGATGAGGGCCACAACGTCACCGCCTGCATCATCATCTACCCGTCCACCACCTGGGAGATCTTCACCAACGTCCTCCTGAACTTCGTGGGCTTCCTGCTGCCGCTGATCATCATCACCTTCTGCACAGTACGGATCATGCAGGTGCTACGCAACAGCGAGATGCAGAAGTTCAAGGAGATCCAGACAGAGAGGAAGGCCACGGTGCTGGTCCTGGCTGTTCTGCTGCTGTTTGTCATCTGCTGGCTGCCCTTCCAGATAAGCACCTTCCTGGACACACTGCTCCGCCTCGGCGTCCTCTCCAGCTGCTGGGATGAGCACTTCGTTGACGTCTTCACACAGATTGGCTCCTACGTGGCCTACAGCAACAGCTGCCTCAATCCACTGCTGTATGTGATCGTGGGCAAGCGCTTCCGAAAGAAGTCATGGGAGGTGTACAGGGGATTATGCCAGAAATGGGGCTGTGGGCCAGAGCCCACCCAGACAGAGAACTCCATGGGCACCTTGAGGACCTCCATCTCGGTGGAACGCCGAGTTACAAATTGCCAGAGTGGGTGGGGAGGAACCAGTGAGTGATGCCTCCCCGACTGCTGCTAATTTCTCTGAGGATTGGTGGACAGTTGCTCTTTAGCGTGGGCCCATGGAAGATCAGAAGGCATTTCCAATGTGTGAGCTTGGGCAAGGAGTCGGTGTCTCCATCAAAACACAGGAGAGTGATCCTTGCCACACCCTAGCTGCTGTGAGCACGGCTGTGAGGAGGGGGTGACCTCATGGCCAGCCTAGGGTTCTACAAACGCTACAGTATTATTGTCCTCATCAGCTGCCACCTGGAGTGCCTTCCATGAGTGGAGGGAGGGGAGAGGTCAGGGAGAGGAGTGACTGAGCTTCCCTTCATGGGTATCCCACCCGCCCAAACATGACAGCTCATGTCTCTAGGACAACTGCCCCCAGGCCTGGCACAATGGCTGAACATACACTCAGGGCCTGGCTGGCTATTTTGGAAGGATTCTTTAATTCACTCAAGTAGGATTTTGGAGGTTGACTTCTCAGACTAATGAAGCCTCAGTCTTAGGGTTGCCTTCTGAATAAATCTGAGGAATCCCTGGAAGGAACATGAGAGACCAGGATTCTGTAGCTCACCTCTCCAACGGATGTACAAGGTGGTTTGTGGGAAAGAAAAACCCAATAAATACTTATGGAGCACTTGCTGTATACTCAGCATTGAGCACTGTGAACAAGAAAAAAAAGAAGAAGAAGAAGAAGACCCAGCCTCCACCTTCAAACCAAAAATGAAAAACCAGACGCATTGCCATCAAGTTGATTATAACTCATAGTGACCCTGTTGGACAGGTAGAATTGTCCATAGGGTTTCCAAGGCTGTGATCTGTATGGAAGCAGACTGTCATATCTTTCTCCCAGCCAAGTGGCTGGTGGGTTTCAACCACCAACCTTCTGGTTAGTAGCCAAGTGCTTAACCCATTCACCACCAGGTCTTCTCCTCCTCCATCTTCAAGGAATTCAAAAGCTTACCTGAGGATGCCAGACCCTTGCAGTTACCAGGCTGCTTCAGGCAAAAGCACCCCAGCACTTCAGATGGTGCAGACAGCAGGGGCTCCCAGCTCAGCCCAAACCAGTTGCACTATTAAGCCAATCAATTGCCTTGTCCCGCCTCAGTTTCCACCTCTGTAAAATGAAGTTGTTGTGAGGGCCAAAGGTCACAGGCATCAAAGTGCTTTGAAAAGCAAAAGGTGCTATGTACAGTTAAGGCATTATTATTACACACACGGAACAGAAATGAACTTATTCAGGAAAAAGCCACTGTGGGCTTAAAACTAGCTTCACAGAGGAGAGCCAGTGTTGGTGGCTAATGTTCATGTAAGGCACCCACTAGACTCTGACACATGGCAGGTGACCAGTAAATGTTAGCTCCGTTCTGGGAGGAAGTGGGAGGGGAGCTGTTGCATTGGGGTAAATTGTAGTCAATGTCTTGAGACAGTGTGTGTGTGAACTGCTATATGGAAAGTGAATTTGCTCTGTTAACTTTCACCCAAATCACAATAAAAAATAAAAATAAAAATGTTAGCTCCCTCCTACCTTTCCACCCTCCACATCTTCCTCTACACATACACGCGCACACATCCACACACACAGGAATTTGGGGGGACAGCCACCTCTTCAATGTTAGATTTGTGATGAAGCAGTGAGAAAAAAGAATTAGATGGGTCTTGCCTAGGGATCCCACAGGCGTGCCCCTGCAATTGGTAGCCGTGTATGAGAGGTTCAATCAATGGTTTATATCAAAAGTGGCCCTGTGTGGCCTAGAGAACTTAAGCAGGAAGTAGTGGGGGCCACTCAAGGGCAGCGGATCAGTGATTGGATATGATGGTCATCTACCTCCAAGTAGTCAACCCACAAGTCCTACCTTTGCAAAGCACTCACTGAGGATGCTAGGGTCCATGGCTAATTGAAGATGGCCAGAAAGCTGGTCAGTTTCCCACAGAATCATATGCAGGGGAGCCTTGGCTCCACTCCCACCCCTGGGCCAATGGGCAAGGCCTGAAGTGGTGGGGGGACCCAATGAATGAATCTCAGGTATCAGGCCAGAGGAAGCTGGTCCAGCATCCTTGGCCAGAGCCAGGAGATAGCTCCCAAGTCCCAAACCCTCCTCAAAGAATTCTTTTCTTCTTTTTCTACACACCTTAATAAGCAGCCTCTTGTGGGCAGCCCCGTGCCAAGCCCCAGCTGGGAAACTGAGTAGCACAGTATTTGGGAACAACCAAGGGGGTGATGCAGACAGCATGCCAGGCCTCACTCCCTCCAAAAGAGCATCTACAAGCTTGCTGGCTGGCTAGAGAGGCGGGAACCTGGAGGATAGGGAGGGTTTGGGTGGCAAAGAACCCACAAACCCTGGGCAACTCAGCTCGGAATGTGAAGACAAAACAGGTCAAAAGATGCCCTCTCACCTCATCCTTTTATCACCACCCACACCCTTCTTCCCTGATGAATAAACCTGCACATTTGCAACTGGAGAAAGAAAACGGGTGAAAGAAGAGGTAAGAATCATTTAACATTAGAAGGAAGCAAACTACGAACAATGTCATTGTTAGGTGCCACACAGTAGGCCCCCAACTCACAGCAACTACCTGCACAGTGGAAACACCTCCTGGTCCTGTGCCATCTTCATAATTGGCTGCAGATAGGATCTTTGTGATCCACAGGGTTTTCCTCGGCTGACCTTCAGAAGTAGATCACCAGGCCTTTCTGTCTTAGTCTGGAAGATAAAATTACCAGAAACCTGTTCACCATCAGGGCAACAAACAAGCCACCACAGAAAGGTGATGATGGCTGTGCATGAGGTGCATTGGCTGGTATTGAACCCTGGTCTCCCACATAGTAGACAAGGATACTACCACTGAGCCACCACTGGACCACTAATCATGCACATACTGTGAATAAAACCGAAGGGGTCATGCTTATGATGCACAGTGTTCATCAGCATGTGTGTGATGGCCTGAAGGTCTTTCATGAGCATGCCATACCACAGCCCCAGCCTCCTAATCATCATTTAGGATCCACTCATGGTCTTGCGAGCACCTAGTCTGTGTGATGGAGATGTGTGTGTGACAGGAGATGACCGATGCATTGTGTTGATCCTCTGTGTCATGATTTGACTTGTGATCTCTGAAAATATGTGTCAACTTGGCTGGGCCATGATTCTCAGTGTCTGGCAGTTATGTAATGATGTAATCATCTCCCACGACGAGATATGATGGGATCAGCCAATCGGTTGTGATAGGATTAGGGTGGGGTGAGCACCCTTATTCGGGTCACAGGCCAGATCGGATATAAGGGAAGGTTTCCTGGAGTGCAACCTGCATCACCTTTTTTCTTGCAAAAGATGAAAACAGAAAGAAGTGAGCAGAGAAGAAGGAACTCACATAATCAAGAAAGAAAAGCCGGGAATGGAGTACGTCCTTTGGACCTGGGTTCCCTATGCTGAGAAACTCCTAGACCCAGGGGAAGGTAATGACAAGGGCATTCCCCCAAAGCCAAAAGAGAAAGAAAGCCTTCCCCCAAGAGCAGGCACCCTAGATTTGACCTTCCAGCCACCTAAACTGTGAAAAGATAAATTTCTTTTTGTTAAAGCCACCTACTTGTGGTATTCCTACGATAACAGCACTACATAACCAAGACATTGTGATAACAACATTCTCTGTCTTGTAAAAGACCCAACGAGCTATTGTAAAGAGGAAGCAGTTCACATATGAGGGAGAAAATGGATGAAGCATGTAAACATGTGTCTTCTCTGTACAGCATAATGAATGGAAAAAGTTCTTTGCACAGGCGTGTTCCTATAAGTAAATATCTATATCTATATAGATAGATAGATAGATATGTGTTGTTATTTGCCATCGAGTCGCCCCCGACTCATAGCGACCCCTCCTTGGGTTTCTGAGGCAGTATCACTACAGAAGTAGGATTGCTCAACCTTCCTTCCGAGGAGTGGCTGGTGGGTTTGAACCGCCAGCCTTCTGGTTAGCAGTCAAGTGCCTTAGGCACTATGCTACCAGAGCTCCT